ATTCTGGAAATTCTTGTCTCGAATTAGCGTTTGAATCGTTGTCCGAAGAATCGCCAGAATATGCGCTCATGTCTTGCAATAGTTTTTTCATTTTCTTTTCAATCATCAATTGTCTGCGAATTTTGTTATCCGTTTCACTTCGTATGAAATCCTGAATCAAAAATTATTTGTAAGACAATTATCAAAACATAATAAGTTATATTGAAAACTGCACACAATTCTCATTCCGATGTCGAAACACTTTTTAAGTCTACACTTCGGACACAATCGTCTCGTCTGTACATTGATCTCACATTTGCCGTTTGAAGCGCAGTGTAATTGCTATTAAAAGATTAATTAGTTTAATTAAATTTAGACTATTTGTTAGTAATTAGTATTAATATCTAACTATAGTCTTGAGCGCAGTTCTCCGGAAAAATGCTTTACACGATTCGCAGGTAAAGGCACAAAAATTTCTACCTAGAATATAATTTATATTTTAAACAATTATGTATAGTAAAATGATTTTTAATACAATGAATATAATACCTATTTGTTTACTTTCGCCACACACTTGACAAAGTCTTTCCTTGACGTTAACATTCATTTCACTAATTAATTCTTGTTGTGATTACTTTAAACTAAAGTCAAATTTTAAATAGGGGTTTAAAAAAATATTATATGAATATACATTATGAATGTGCATATAATTTTAACAGCAACTTACACGTTTTGATTATTTCTACTAGAAAACTTGGAAACCATACAATTTTTAAATCTAAACAATTATTAAGAATTTTGTTTATTTTGCATTTAATATTGAGATAACAAATTGCCATATTACCAACATTTACATGTAACATTAGAAGTTACGAATACCTTACAATTAAAAAAATAACATCTCATTGTGATAATTTCAAAATAGGTATAAATCAATGATAGTTTACTAAATTATAAAACAATAAAAATTTATTATCAAAATTATCGCCATTTTATATATGATTTAATTAAATAAGTTATAAATTAATAAATATAATCACGTTTAATGAATTTTATACAATAATATTCTTATGCAAACACTTGTTATTATAAAAATATTTCTAGGCGTATCATATGACATCTACATGCTACAATAAATAATAAGTTTATTGAATTCTGGGTAAATACTATGTGTATGTAGTTTCTAAATCACATAATTCTCTGAGTAGTGGTCCGTAATATTGACTGTATGTATGAAATTTTGAGACCTCCTTGTTTTTATGCAATTGCCCGGCTATTCTCACATCATTCAGTGAGTCCATCAGTTTTTGTAGACTTAATTGCGATTCCCATTCGGACCCGTATTTCATAAGTAGATATTTTTGCAATA